CGTTTAAATTGTATTAGATAAACTTTTAACAATCATTTCATTTTTGTCTTGCATCTGCCTATTTAACCCTCTGGCTAGCCAACCGCTTCGTCGCTGTGCGCCGTCTGTCCCTCCGTCTCACTCTCCTCTAAAAGCTCCCAGTTATCTAGGCATCCTGGCCTCGGGTTGCGCATTCCCCATCTGGGCCTTTCTCCGCCCTGTCGTCTGCCCTACCAATTGGGTCGTGAAGTTCTCGATTATCACAGTCATCAAGCCCGTAGAACGGTTGCTTCAACTCTTGGTCTGAGTACTTCGAGTGAAGGTCAGCGACGCTGTGCCTCGTCTGAACGCTGTCTTGATACGACCACCTCAACCAAGGATGGTACTCGTGGCCAGATGATTCCAGACAGGGTACATTCACCGATGCGAACTACGCGACCCAAGGCCGCTTCTAACTGGGCCAAGCAAGAGCAGTCAGTGTGCAAGGACCGCAGTACCTCGTGTGAGGGACTTCCACCTCGAGACGATGTTTCACGCAGGTCAAATTCTGCTGTGCTCACAGCTCGCCTGATCCACCGGCCGAAGCAGAACTACTCTGAGAATACCCATTCAGCAGAGCCAAGGACCAGAGCAGACCGATCCTGCACAGAAGAAGAGGCAAAACAATCTGAAATGGAGGATTTGTCTTGCAATATGCTCGAGTCACTGACGATGCATAAGCAGGTAGTCGGGGAACGCCGCCACCTCTACACGCCTTGGCAACCGATGGCGAAGGGACGCCAAGTTGGACAGTCTTATGGGGGCAAGATAGGTCGAATACAACAACAGATGAAAGCGAAGCGAAGATACTGCAGTGCCGAGCAATTGTGAGTGCCCGTCTGTAGGCCGCAGATGCAACACTTTTGGCTGTTTGCAGTTCCTTCACAAATGCAACTTGGAAATCGTCCAGATCGTTCTTTGTGGCTCCCTCTATTTCGCTTAAGCCATTGGGCAGCATTTGGATTATCTCACAAATACAAGCCTTTGCACGAGAAACTTACACAGATATGGAAATATCTTTGCGTGTGTAAAATCCTTACTACAAAGTACGAATATACCAAGAAAATATATTTGTCATAAAACGATGGTGGATAGTTTTCAGAATAAAGTCCTCTTGACTTGTTGGCACATATGGAATCAGAACTTGTGGCGGTTAGCCAACTTCGGAAGAACCTTTTGTCAACTTTAGTCGTGGTTACATAGGTTAAGAATA